ACTTTTAAGTGTACAGTTCAGTGGTACTAAGTACAGTCATGTTGTTGTGTAACCATCACCACTACCCGTCTCCAGAACTTTCATTTTCCCAAAGGGAAACTCTTCACATGTTTATCAATGACTACCGGTTGGTTCCTCCTCCCCGGTTCCCTAGCAATGACCTTTCTGCTTTCTGCCTCTGTGAAACTGATGGCTCTATGTCCCTCATGTAAGTGAAATCACACAGTATTTGTCCTTTTGTGAATGGCTTGTTTCACTTAGCATAATGTGCTCAAGGTTCATCCACGTTGAAGCATGTATCAGAACATCCTTCCTTTTTCACTGAATAACACTATATCTATACCTATAACTATATATTTCACTTTACTTATCCATTCATTTATTAATGGGCACGTATGTTGTTTCTGGGCTTCCCTGGTGGTTCAGACGGTAAAGAACCAGCCTGCAATGCAGGAGACCTGGGTTTGACCCCTGGGTCAGGAAGATCCCCTGGAGAAGGGAAAAGCTACCCACTCCAGTATTTTTGCCTGGAGAATTCCATGGACAGAGGAGCCTGGCGGGCTACAGTCCATGGGGGTCACCAAGAGTCATGGTGGTCACCTCAGTCGTTAAACTGAGGGGCTAACACTTTCCTTTTCCCTATGTTGTTTCTACTTGTCGGTTATTGTGAATAATGCTTCCATGAACATGAGTGTACAAACATTTCCTGGAGTTCCTGCTTTCAATTCTTTTGGGTGCATACTCAGAAGTGGAATAGCTGGATCATATGGTAGTTCTATATTTAACCTTTTGAGAAACTGCCAAACTGTTTCCCACAGCAGCTGTACCATTTTACATTCCCATCAGAAATGCACAAGTGTTCTAACTTCTCCGAATTCTTGCCAACACTTGATATTTTCTTTTTTTTTTTTATAATAGTCATCTTAATGGATATAAAGTGGTGTCTCATTGTGGTTTTGATATTTGTAGTACTTCTAAGGCAAATAAACCTTAACTCGATTTCTCTGAGGCTATTCTTTCTCTTCTTGCTTCTTTCCTGTCCTTCTACCATCTTATATTAAAGTTATATAACATTAGCTGCCATTCAGAAGTCCCATAGTTGCAGGTTTTCCTGTTAGTTTCTACCTAAAAGGCTGAGATTTTAAAACATCATTTGAGAAATATGGATTTTGATGTATATGAGAGCAAAAAAGCGAAGAAATAGCAAAATAGAGAAGGCACTGTCTTGTGAGGCGCCTCTGCTGGGTCCCAGGGGGATCTTATAAAGCATTCAAGGGTTGTTTCTGCCCAAAGACAGACTTAAATGCAGACAGAACAACCCTCCCACCACTGGCTCCAGCGAGTGGCCATCCTCAGGGGCTTGGAGCGCTTCTCTCCAAGGTGGCCCTGGACATGTAGCAACAGTTGGTACCTCCACACACTGGAGGGGCTGCTCACAGGGCTAAGAGCATCTCTCCAAATGCTCTCCTCCCCCGCTTCTTGACTGCTTTTCTGGCCAAGAAGGAAAAGTAGACCTTAGCTCTGGCTAAGGTGGAAACCTTATGAGGCCAGAACAAGTTGGGTGGAGAGGGGGGCTTGGAGAAGGGGGCTTGGAGAGGGTGGTAGGCAGGGCTAGGCCCACAGGATCATAAAGCTCAGGTTAAAAACTTTAAAGTCTGCCCTGGTGCATTTTCTGTAGCAAGCATGATTCACTTTGCATGTTAAAAACATGAGCTGTTAACTGGGAGGCAGGGGACCATGCAGGAGGCCCATGGGAGAGGAGATGGTGGCTGGGACCAGGGAGCTGGCCATGGTAATGAAGAGAAGTGGGTAGATTTGATTTGAGATACCCACATTGTGGGGTTGAGCTATCAGGACTTAGTGATGGATGGCTCTGGGGGGACTGGAGTAGAAAGTATTAATTCAGCAAATGATGCCACCATGAACCGAGATGGACACAACAGCGAAGGTGCAGACGGCAGATTTAGAAGTGTCTGGACAAGGAAGAGCTTGCTCCCCACCCCGGAAGGCACTTGCAGTAGACCTGGACCAAGTGATCATAAGCCCTTGTTTCAATTTGACTTGCCAAAGCCACATTCGGCCTTTGCTCCTCAAAACAACGCTCACTCTGTGAGATTGAGAAAGTCAGTTACCAGCCAACTTGGCATCCTCTACATAGAGTCCAGCAACCATTGGGTAAGAGCAGGCTTGAGTTGTGCCTGCATTTTGGTGAGGGGGTTGTTCCAGAAGGGGATTTATGTGGGACGCCTCCAAGCCCCTTCCTTCTCTCTGCTTGCCCGCCTCACCTCACTCCTGGAGCAGATTGCCAAAGGCTTCAGTGGCCCACATGCTGAAGCTCATGAGACATGTGGAGGGAACAGCAGCTTCCCTTCCTCCTAACTAGGAAGGTCAGCTTCCTGCCAGGAAGACCTTGATCCCCTGCCTGGGTCCCTCCACCCCACTGCTTCCTCATCTGCCCCAGCCGGTCTGCAGGTTCTCAGGGTTTGTTACTTGTATCACCCCTTTCCGGTACTAAATTCTCCACTAGTTGGAAGATTTGGTTGTGAGGGACACAGACCTCCTGGAGACAATCAAGCCAAGGTGGGATGTTTGTTAAAAAGTTGTGGGGGACCTGGTGACTGCAACCAGACTGTCAAGTCTTGCAGCAGAGATTAGGCTGCCAGGAACTACTCCAGAAGTGGTTAGAAGGGTTGCAGGAGAAGACTGGGTCAGGGCTACACTGGAGACCCCTAGGGAGGGCCTGCCTGGGGCAGCAGCCTCTAGAGGGCGCTAGACCACCATGAGACTAAACTGGAAAGGGATGTCAGATAGTTAAGGTCTCAATATGGGCAGGGACTAAGTTTGTGCCAGAAGACTCAGTAATCAAGACGTGTGTATGTGCACTAAATAACTTCTTGTCCAACTTTTGGCAATCCCATGGATTGTAGCCCACCAGGCTCCTCTGTCCAGGGGATTCTTCAGGCAAGAATATTGGAGTGGGTTGCCATCTTCCTCCCTCCCAACCCAGGGATCAAAGCTTAGTCTCTTACATATTCTGTGTTTGCAGGTGGGTTCTTTACCACTAATGCCACTTGGGAAGCCCCAGTAATCAAGATAAGTCACATATATTTTAAAATTTCGTTAGTTATTGTTTTTTATTTTTTTACTGTGCTGGGTCTTCATTGCTGAATGTGGGTTTTCTCTAGTTGCAGTGAGTGGGGGGCTATTCTCTAGTTTTTGAGAGTGGGCTTCTCACTGTGGTGGCTTCTCCCAGGTGGTTCAGTGGTAAAGAATCTACCTGCCAATGCAGGAGACCCTGGAGACTCAGGTTTGTGCCCTGGGTTGGAAAGATCCCCTGGAGAAGGAAATGACAACCCACTCCAGTATTCTTGCCTGGAGAATCCCATGGACACAGGAGCCTAGCAGGCTACAGTTTGTGGAGTTGGAGAGTCAGACACGACTGAGCAACTAACACACATACTCTTGTTGCAGAGCATGGAGTCTAGGTGCTCAGGCTTCAGTAGTTGTGGCACATGGGCTTAGTTGCTCTGTGGCATGTGGAATCTTCCCAGACCGGGATTGAATCCGTGTCCCCTGCATTGGTAGGTAAATTCTTAACCACTGGACCAATAGGGAAGTCCCAGACAAGTTATATATTTTTTAATGTATATAAATGCAAAAAAAATTCATGCTAAACAAATTATCAAAAGTTTACATAAAGTTAGGTGGTGGTTGTTTTCTGACCCTGCTCTACTGGGCAGTGGGAAGACTTGTTCCCAACTGACTGAAGGGAATCTGGCTGTCTGTGCTCTGGTCTGTGGGTTTATGAGGGTTGACAGTGAGGTGTGAACAGATTGGGCAAATTGGAGCTTTATATCTAGCCATGCTTTTCCACTTGATTAAACATATTTTGTATTTGAGAAGTGGAGATAGGGGCTCATGTTTTTACATTCCCCACAAGCTCCAATAGGACTCCCCAGGGCACTGGTGTTGACCCTGGATTCCTCACATAGCTTTCAAAACATACACTGAGGCAGAAAGCATCTTCAGATGGAAACAAAACTGCAGACTCTGCCTATCCCTATTTCTGATGAACATTTTTGCCAAGCATAAACACCCATTACAGAGTGGTCAGCAGCCTGATGAAATTTTGAAACTAAATTACAGCAGGCTAGTGCTCTTTACCATAAATGAGTAATTTATCCTGTTATTTGATTCTTAAATCCTTTAATACATCTCCCAAGAAGTCCGCTTTGGAAAAATCACCAGAAGAATTAGAAGAGAGAGAGAACAAGGGAAGACAGAAAACCTAAAAGTTGTTTTTTCCCGATTTTTAAAAATTAAAATCCAGTTGGCCTGTACTATGAAAATGAGTTAGTTGAATTACAGCGGCTACAATGTTCTGTCTACAATGTTCACTAACAGAACACTGGTTTCTGTCTACCTTCTTTGCAAAACGGGGAACATCAAGGGGAGACGAATCCTGAGCCTTGGCTTGGGGATACAAGCAGGGAAGGTTATACCCAGCAGCCAGGACAGGGAGGGAACCTCTGGGGACCTCCCATGTCACAAGTTTCTCAAGAAAGGAGGGTTGGCCCCTTAGGTGGTCTCCTCTGTTTCCCAGGGTTTCGGCTTCTACTGGGCCCATTCCCTTGGTTGACAACACTCCCGGATAGAAGAGGCTGGAAAACAGGCCTTCTCTCCATTTCCCAGTGCCTCTCGGGATGACTGCGTGGCCTCTGGGGCCCCGGGAGGGGTGGGTTTCCAAAGGCCTGTTAGAATGGTCGCCTGGTCACCAGTGTCCACTCACAGGCCTGGCTCTGCGCAGAGCGATTCATCTCAGGGATGTGGCGGGTCTGCCTGGTCGCGGCCAATGAGGGGGGCAGGTCCTCACACAGAAAACAGGCCTTAGTCCTGCGCTACCAGGGGCGGTCCTGCCCTCAGGTCCCCTTAGCAGCTCCTCGTAGCCCCTTTCTCTGCCACCCCCTACCCATCAACCCTCCCCTCCCCTCGCATCTCAGCCGGCTCCGGGAGGGACCGATTCTTGGGCGGGGAGGAGGGCTGCTGGGAGCGCCAGGCTCCGGCCCGGAGGGCGCGCACTGGCCAGGGGCCGCCTGCGCGGAGCTGTCCAGCACCCGAGGCGGGGCGCGCGCCCCCCGCCCGCCCCAGCCGCCCGCACCCGCCCTGCCAGCGCCACTGCGGCTCGGCGGGCGCGTCACGTGGCTGGCGCGGCGCGGCCTCCGGGCTCGGGCGGGCTAGGGGCCGGGCGGCGGGACCCACAGACCCGCGGACGCTCCACCGGCGGCACCGGCCGGGCGGGCTGGGCGCAGCGCGGGGCGGCCGGGGGGCGCCAGGGCCGGGCGGGCTGCGCGCCGCGGGGCATGGGCGCGCCGGGGGCTCCCGGGCACAGGCCGGCCGCGCCGCGGGGCCCGGGGCGCGGGGGCAGCGGCGGGCGGGGGTCCTCCCTGGCGGCCGCCGCTGAGCCCCCGCGGGGCCCGTGACGCCGCGGCCGATGTGGCCCCGCGCGCGCTGCGGGCCTGCACCGCCGCCTCACAAAGACGCCGCCGGAGCCGCCGCCCGCATCCGGGCCGCAGCACCCTCGGGGTCCCGAACCGGAGCCGGAGCCTCAGGAGCTGGGCAGGAGGCGGCGCCCGCGGGCGGTCGGCCGGCCCCAGCATGGAGAAGCTGGCGGCCGCGGGGCCGGAGGGGGCGCCGGGCGCCCGGGCGCAGCTCGCCGTCGTCTGCCTGGGTGAGTGGGCCGCGCGGCCGCGGCGGGATCGGTCCTCTGCCTAGTAGTTCCGCGCCGCGCCCTGGTCGGACTTGGGGCGCCCCTCTCCTCTGGTTGCGGCTGGGGCTCCCGGGACGGGCACTGCCAAAGCTCCTGCCAGAGGCCGAGGAGACTGCGGCCCCCAGCAGTCTGGCCTGCTGGGGTCTTAGGCCTGGGAGGGCGACTCCGGCCGCGGAGCCCCGGCTTCAGCCGGGTTCAGAATAGCGTCCGGGAGCCCGGGTGAGAGGCGCGCGGGGCGGCCCACTGCGGGCGCCTGGGATTGGCGGGCAGTGACTTTCTGCCTGACTTCCCCGCTCTTAGCCTGGCGGCGATGGGCGATCCGGGCCTCCGGAGCTGCGGACAAAGGCGAAGCCACCGGGGCTGGGGCCGGTGGTCCCCTGAACGAGGAACTATTTCTTGCCTGGAGTGGGTTGGGGGCGGGAGCCAGCCGGAGCCGGATCGGGATGCGCGGCAGGAGGCAGCTGCTAGAATGACTCCCGTCTTCTCTTTGTGTCTTCTCAGACCCAGCAGGGCAGGAGGCCTCAGCAGCCCAGGGCGATGTGTCTGGGGAGGGCCAGGGACCCATCCAGCCCTGCCAGAGCTTTTCTGTCCACCTTTCCAGGGCCTTGTGTGCGGGAGAGGGGAAGCAAGGGGTTAAATCGTCTAGCCACATGGCTCCTTTATTTACCATGATGGAGGGAGGCCATTATCTAAGCCGGGGTCATTAGGGGACACCCTATGGTGTCATCAGTGAAGGCTCTGTAATCCCAGCAGGTTTGTTGAAGCCACTGAAATGGCAAAGTAAAAAAAAGAAGCCTGTTCATTTTAGGGTGCACTCTCCTCTGCCCCCAAGAATCTAGGAGCTGGGGGAAGGCCCCTGCCTTAGCTACGTGAGCAGATCTCAGTGAGCTTCATGGCCCCCAGAGTGCCCGATCCCCAGTCTGTCAGTGTGGTCCCATGCTCCTGAGTGCCTGGCTTCCCCCAGGGTGCAAGGCAAGGGGCAGACCCTTTGGCCTTCCCCAAGGCCCTCCCCACCCAGCAGAGGCTGGGTGTCCTGCCAGGGGGCAGCTGGCTCTCTTCTTCTCCAGACATGGGCTGACCCCTGTAGAGATGTTGTTCTCTGCTTCCCTTCGCATCCTTGATGTTGGGGAAGGGGACACCCTGAACCTCAGGAAGTTGAGTGTGCCTACGTCTTCTGCTCCCATATCTGCTGCAGGAAAGCATTCAGTGAAAGCAAAGGGCAGATCCCATGGTGGTGGGTAGCATGGGGTAGTGAGGAGGACCTTGAACCCTGGTAGCTGTAAGTGCCTGTAGAATGGGGGTGATCAGAACTGCTTCCCTCCCTCCCTGGCTGGCTGGCAAGGCCCCTCAGAGGGAGGAAGCCCTACAGTGTGGTAGGAGCCCCCTTCACAAGCAGGGCCCCTGCCCGGGTTGAGCAAGGCCTTTCCCTGAAGGATGGTCAAGGCCCGTGGGTCCCAAGCCTGAGAAGATACAAGCAAACCCCCTCCCACGTGAGTTAGAATTCCCAAGCATGGGGAATGGCAGGAGTGGTCTGGGGCAGCCAGGCTTGCACCCTGCTCTCTCCCATTATGGGTGTTTGGGTGAGTCCTGAGGTCCCCTGGGGTTCTCGTTCTGCCCATCCCAGCAGGACAGTAACAGTGCTCTGGGCCTTACCCTTTGAGATGAAGAGAACCAGCCTGGAGTTTGGGCTGTGTTGTTTTGCACCCCAAGTGTTTAAGCCCCAAGAGCTACCCCCTCTCCTCCTCCTTTCCCCCACACCACTGAACCCGCTTTGTTTCCCACAGTGAACATTGTTCTCACCGGGCGGTTCAGCAGCGCCGTTCCTGCCTTAGGTGAGTAACATGCTTCTCCCCTTCCTCCCCTCCTCCCTGCTCTCCTGGTTTAGTGACCTTTGAGTACCAGCCTTCAGGATCCTGGCTCCACCCCTGAGGTCACCTGGCCTTTTTTTTAAATCTCAATTCCTGGGCATCTTTGCATCACAAAGGAGTTTTTTGGCATTAGGCAAGCTTATACCTCTCTGAGCCTCAGTTTCCTCTTCTGTAAAATGGGTGCATTTAACCATGGAGCCTGGTTAAATGGGCCAGTGAGGTAAGGTGTTCAGCATGGCTTTTGCACGTGGTAGCCTCATACCACTAGGAAACTGTCATGGCCTGCACACTTGGCAGACTGTGCTTCCTGTAGGCAGTGGGGATCCCAGAGAACCATAGGGCACCATAAGATGCCTGCCTGCTTTAAAATTACACCTGGGATTTAGTTTAGGAAGGTATGACTGAGTGCCAACACAGAGGCCAAAGCCATTGATGGAGGAATTTGTTACTTATGTGTCTCGTGAGGAGGGGCCATGCCATACCACTTAGATTCACCTGGGCAACACCAGGTCTAGTCAAGGCAGACAGAAGTGAGGGGAAGGCTTTTTGGCCAGAGCCTTGATCGAAGTTTTGGTGAGCAGAACAAGACAGGGCAGAGAAAACATCTTAGGGCTGGCTAGTTTGGCTAACCCCTAAGGGCTCTGGGCTAACGGGGTGGTCTGTCCGTGCCTGCTACCTGACCCTGGGATGAAATATTGGCTTGGTGTGTGAATTAGGTAAGAAGGCTGTAGGGGTTCAGTCTCGCATCAGCCAGCCTGCCAGGGAAAGACCAGTTTCAGGGACACCGATTTGCAGGAGAGACATAAACACTTTGACTGATGGTTTGGCCCTGTGATAAGTAGGTGCCAAATAGACACACGTGATCTAAGAAAACACAGTTGAACTCCGTGGCTGCCTCCTGCCTGTCAGAGCGGGTCTGTCCATCCGCTGGCCGCCTTCATGCTTGGGCCTAGTGCCGAGCACAGCAAAGGCTGCCAGGAGTGGGAGCCTTCAGGGTTGAGGCCATCAGGGGCATTTGCCCTTTGCTGAGGGGGCTGCCAGGGGTTGGTGAATGCATAGGCCCAGGCCCTGGGTCCCTTGGTGCCAGGGGAGACATCTGAGAAGGGCCTTGGGAACTGGAGTCTGCAGGCTTGTTTGCTGTGTCCTGAGCTGTGTCGTGGGGCAGGAGGTACCTGGGATTTTTATTAATAGTTCTGCTCAGGGTCTGGCTGGCAGCAGAGACCCACTGAGGCAGCTCAGGAAGGCGGGGGTGGGGGTGGGCTGGGGTGGGCTGTCTCCTGGTCGCTGTCCCTGCGATGGGGAGGCTCGGGATTCACAGAAGCTGCTCTCAAAGGCTTGTCTCTCCGATGCATACTCTCAGCCTCCCTTCCCGTTCTCCCTTCAACCAGCTCCTTCCTGCCCCTGCAGCCTGGCCTCCGCTGCTGACCGCGCTGGCTCAGGGCCCGGCCTCACTCAGCGTTGAGCCGGCCTGAGTCCTGCCTGACGTCATGGCCCCCATAGCTAACCACACAGTTTCCCCACCCCAATTTCCAGGACCAGACGGACTGGCCTCACCTGGGTCAGGTGTCCGTGGCAGCCATGGTAGAGAGGGGTCGCAGGGCGAAGGGGACAAGGGGGTGACAGGTCTTAAATATGCGAGTCCCAGGCAGGCCCCCTGCTGGTGTGTGGGCAGGCATGTGGCTCCAAACATGTCTGCCCCGGGTTCGAAAAGAGATGCTCTGGGGACAAAGTCCATCTGTAGAGCCAGGAGAGAAATTCATCCAGGTTCAGCCTCCTGTTTGACTGCCAGTGGGGTTCAAGCTGTCTGTGCCTGCCCCCCACCTCCGCCCCCAGTGTCCTGAGGCTGCACACGGAGCCTATGTGGCCACAGGGGCTGGGCTGAGCTGAGGCTGTCCTAGAGCCCATCTCTCACCCTCTAGCATTGCTGAGAGAAGTAGAGACCAGCTTCTGGCTGTCAGAGTGCCTCCTCCCACCCGAAGTGCCGTGCCTCCGCACTTTCAGGGTTTCCCTGCAATTCCTGCTGTGAGGAACCCGGGTCATCACTGTCTCGCCTGCCGCTTCCCCACCCTCACTGGGCTCAGTCCCTCCGCAGGGCCCAGCTGGGCCACCTGGGGACCTCACAGGCTTTTGCCTCTCAGCCCCCATCCTGCCCCAACTTGTCAGGCACCATCTGGGTCGGATAACCCACCCCGTCACCCCAGACTCTGGCCACTGTGACCCGGGGGGTGAGCCTGTTCAGCGTCTTCAGGGTGTTCTCCGCTCATCTGGCAGCTTCGCCCAGGCACTCTGCTGGGGCTCCCGGCTCCCAGTCATTGAGCACACTGGCAGGTTGTCCAGAGTTCTGGGAGCCCCTGGAGACCAGATCTGCATGCTGTATGTTTTCAGGCTTGCTCATGCCCTCTCAGGAGTATTTGACATTTCTCTGGACCAGGAAAGAAGGACGCTGGTCTGAAAGCGCTCAGTCACCCCTTGCCCCCTTGAGCAGGCCACCTTGACCTGAGCAAAACTTCTGTCCAAGTGAACACAGGTCACTTCCAGTTAAGTTCAGACAGACTTCTCTGACTGCCCCTAAATACCCCCAAGAGCCTCCATCCTGCGTCAGT